GCCTTTATCAGACCACGCTTGGTATGCTGTTGAATTTATGAGAGGGCGCTTTATTAGATTCAAGAGTTCCGTTCTGGGGCTGGAGATATGGCTCAGTGGTTAAGAGTGGCTAAGGCTGCCCTTGCAGAGGTCCCAGGTTCGATTCCAGCACCTACATGGCAGCTTACAATCATCTAACTCCAGTTCCAGGGGATCCGATGCCTTCTGACCTCTGTGGGTATTGCATGACTCAGGTGCTCTTACATGCCTACAATACACCATACACATACTTAAAAAGTTAACCCCGATCTGCACAGATGCATAATTAGGCCTGTTAACGAAAGCAGCAAGCACAGCATTACACTCAAAGGTGCGGCGATGGCCCAAACCTGGTAAATTGAATGTGCCAATGTCTTCGTGTCCATCAGCCGTGGTTGCCACATCATGTATGTTGATCACACATCATACAATGTTGAGTTGTGCACCTGGTTTTCATGTGTACCCACACCATACATTAAGAAACAGTGGTTTGGACCTGAACTCTTTATAAACCAAGGTTGTTTTCAACTTTCTCTTCTTGCCATAGGCCTTGGATCTACCAGCCTTATGAAGGAGCTTGGATGGTTTTTGCCAGGCTTTTTCTGGGGTTGTCTCATCAGATTCAAAGCAGATGACAAAGCAGGGTCCATCTCAGGAAGACTGGCTCCAGCCGCCTCTTCAGACCAGCACTGGGGCGGAGTGAGTTGCTGGGCTGGCCTGGCGTATGAGCTCACATTCACTGATGAGGTCCGAAGACACACTCCAGACTCGAGTCCTACGTCCTAAGCCACAGGGCAGCTTCTGCCCTCTCCTTCAGGCTCAGTGACTGGACCCAGCTAGACCACACTGGTTTGGACATGGAGACTGGAGCACAACTCTGCCTCCCACCATGCCAAGTCCATCATCAGCTGTCTCCCGGGGAAGACAAAACTTCAGAGCGCCATTTCCCAGGAGCACACTTAACAGTGGCATCTGGCAGAGCCTGTCCTGCCCTCACAGCAGGGCCGAGTGCACTGGAGACACCACTACAGCAGAACACAGGACCCCCGTGGAGACTTCCTGCCCAGGGTGCAGCTGTCAGGTCGGAACACGCGAGCTCCCAGAAGTCACTTGGGTGGTGTTTGGACTGGCTTCAAAGTGCTGTTACTCCCAGACCTGGCACCGAGGTGTGGTGTGGCCACAAGCAGCACAGTCCCCAGGTTACAGACAAGCAGTTTAGAAGAAATGATGCCACAGAGAAAGAGCTTGGACAGAGGTGACTGCTGTAGGGCTTGTGGTCACTGGGCTGTGGTTGCTCAGAGACGTTCCCAAGGTGCCTTGGAAACAAAGGCAGTACCAGGATGTTGAGCCGTCATTTCAGTGACCACTGCAGCTCCTGTGGCACAGCTAAGACTCAGGTGGTGACTGCCACCCCTGGGCTGTGCCCTGCTGCAGTAAGGTGCTGGGTGCTCAGACTGGCTGCAGCTGGACGCTGGCTCACTGGTTGCAAAGGACAGAGCTGCAGGCCTGGAGGCTGGCCTCCAGGAGAGCCTCTGGGTTCCTTGTTACATATGAAGTAGCCAACTCTTCCTGTAGGAACTTTCCTTCACTTGCTATGTTTAATCCCCTAAAGCTTCATTTATAGCGGAAGTGAGACAGCACCTACTTCAGGGACATGAACTAGCAGTTTTAGAAAAGAGAAAGAAATTGAAGACTTTTCACAGAAATAAATTACACCAAGAATACTGTATCACTACAAATTTTATTCAGAAACCCATCTTTGTTTTTTTTTGTTGTTTTTTAAAAAAAATCCCATTATGAACTGGCTTGTCAATCAACTACAACACTGTCTAGCAGACACACGGTAAAAACAGCACGGCTCAGAATCGTCCCGATCTTTCCCGATCTCTCGACCGCCTCCTGTCGCGCTCACGTCCTCCGCCACCTCCACCACCTCCGCCACCACCACGACCACGGTCTCTGGACCGAGAGCGCCGCTCCCGGGATCTGGACCTGGATCTATGCCTGAATTCAGAACAAGAAGCAAATGGCCATCAAAACCAGCACTCCTGACCACCAAGACTCATCACAGAAATAGCAACGAAGGAGAAAGAGGCAGCCAGACTGTAAGCCCCAACTTCGAGACACACCCCAACTCTAGATGCTACCTCCAGGGAGGAAGTGCACCCCAAACTGAACAGGTGTGCTATCGTCAGTATTTTACGGCTTCCAGAACTAACCCAAATGCTGTGGAAATCACAGTACAGAATAAGTGGGGGCTGGGCTGTGGCTCAGCAAGAGCACGGCACGGACTGGATTCACTTTATACCCAGCACTGCAACACACACACCTGACACACCTGACACACACACACAGCCCTCCTCCAGCCCAATCTGCTCCTTGGAACGGCTGGGCATGGAATTCATCAGGCTGAGTATTAGGGCTGGGAGAGCTGCTTCCCAGTGACAAATCCAACCCCAGGGAGGTCTACGTCCCTTGCCCTGTTTAACAGGGAGGCGAGAACCTGTCTAGGATCAGAATTCAGAACAGGAAAGGGGTGTCACTTGACTCATCCAAACAGTCTGACACAAACTCTTCTGTGACGCAGTGCCCCACTCTGCAAGTGGTAACCAGGGAGGGTGCCCTGATGCTTTCCCCATCAAGGCAAAACCAGACCACCCCTTAAACCGTGAACAGTGCCAACAGAAACCCCAACAGGCATGGGTCATGTTCCCCTAACTTCAGGGGTTCTGTATTGAGCCACACCCGTGCTTAGCTCCCAGAGCTTGACCTCTACATGGAAAATACAGGCAGGAGGGCTTCTCTCCAAGCACTATGTGTGTGAATAATGTACAGTGAAGAGAGGAGATCCCCAGTGTGGCTTTTCTGTCAGTGTTAGGGGAGCAACCCTGCCTTGGTTTGCACACCCTGAAGGACTCACTTCTTACGCCGGCGCCCGTACAGCTCCCGCCGCAGCTCTCTGGAGATCGGCTTCAGATGCATGAAGTTGCAGAAGCCTCCTCGAGTGCACTCTCTGTGGGTCAGAAGCAGAGGCGCGTCACATCTGCACACACCGATGGAGCTCAGCCATCGCTCACGCCAGCACACATCTGCCCTGACTCACCCCATTTCATACTGGCGGCAGCAGGCTTCCCTGAAGTCTGTCACCGGGGACAGCTCTGCGTGAATGGGCTGCCCGTTGAACCAACGGTTATTCAAGTCAATCACAGCCTTCTCTGCATCCTCCTCACGGCGAAACTGAAAAGGAAACAAAAATGCAGGCCATTCCCTCTCCTAACAGCAGCCACGTGCTCACACAGGTAAACTCACAACAGCGCCCACTCAGACTAACCTCAGGATAGCCCCACCGTGTGCCAGGAGCTACCCTCTTTTTCAAATTCAGTTGCTTAGAGCAAATGTAAAACTGCTCATGAGCGTTTTTGTTTTTTTTAAGACAGGGTCTTTCCTGAAGCCTCAGCTGGTCTAAACTCACTATGTAGACCAGGCTGACCTGCCTCCAGCGCTGGGATTAAAGGTGTGTGCCGTACCTCACTCCTGGTGAGTGTTTTTAAGAAGGAAAATCCTAATTTGTCTCCATTCACGAAGCAGCAGGACCACACCCACCAGCAACTCAGAGCCCAGGCCCAAGCTTTAGGCCCACCAGGCTGGCTGCCCAAAGGCCCCACTTGTTTGTACCTTGACATACACGTTCCCCACTAGGTGATCTCCCAGGTTGTCACAGACGTTCATCTCTTCGACTTCTCCATACTTTTCTTCCATCTCGGTGAAGACTTCCTGAAGGGAGAACAGACCAGGTTACCAAAGCCGCACGGTCCAGTGAAGTGTCACCTCCATTCTTCAGCCGTACACAGGGTGAGGCTAAGTCAGCCAGTCCCTCAGGCACTCACCTCGAAGAACTCGTCATAGTGCTCCTGCATCTCCACGTCACTCACGGCACCTGCAATGAGAGACATCTGGCTGGTGAGAGCCCCGTGGTGGCGCCGGTCCTCAAAGCTCAACTGCCACACGACACGCGACTGTCTAGACACCAGGCCAGCGCTGCATGCTACAGGAGCACCCAGGAGCACCGACTCACTTGTGACTTGGAGCTGGAGATCTTAAATGACCCACCAGAGTCTCGCCCTGGCTACTAAAATCACAACCAGCACGAAAAGGGCCTCATTTTCAGAAGTGTGAGGGAAAAGGTAACTCCTGGATCACAAGCTTTTTAAAATAAAAACCCCTTCAGATTAGAGGCTAGGTAGGCGGTTAGCACAATGATCTTTTTCCTTTATTAGGTTAAAATGGAAGCTGAAACCAGGGTGAGTGATCAACAACTCATGTGCCTGACTTTCCTTCACATTCTGCCGGCCACAGAATGCTGGAAAGTTCTTTCTGGTGTGATTAGAACTTAAGTGGCCAGAGGCTGTGAAGGACAATCACCAGGTGTCTGAATGTTGCTGAACAGAGGAGGTCTCGCCTGCTGGAGAACGCACTGACCACCTCTCCAGCACATTTCGTCTCCCAAGTCACTCACAGTGAGCAAGGCCCTGTCCACAGCACAGGTCTTTTCTTCTTTACAAACATCCTCTCAGCCTACATGGGACACCACAGGGGTGGTGTGTCAATAAAGTCACGTTCCAAACAGCTGGATCAGGAGCCAGCAAGGGCCTGACAGGCTCATGGCGTGTTGGGTCAGCTGGGTCTTCGTGTCACGTTTCGTGAGCCATTTTCCTGGATAAGAAAGGACAGGCCTGCCCGTCTCTCTGGTGTGACCCACCAAGGGTATGTGACTGGGTACGGGGCTACTAAACTGCCCTGCCCCTGCACTCACTCAAAGCCTTTTGTTATTTGAGGTAAGAAATGACTTAAACTCTAATTCTGACAATCTAAGTTCCCTCTATCTAGGTTGTTGACCCCTGCTGAATTTCCAGGAAACTAGCCTCACTTTAAAACCCAAACGTACTGACTATACCAGACAACGACTTTTGACAGCAGCAGAAGACCTGGCCAAGAGAAGGCCAGTCCATAGGGCAGATCCTGACAATTAGGACCCAGTGCCTTCTCCATCAAAGACTGGAAAGGGAAAAATTGACATGTGCAAAGTTTTAACAAGCTAGGAACATTCTGGTGGTTTTTAAAAGACTGGCCACACTCATTCTATTAGTTGAAATGACCTAAAAGGCTGAGACAAGTACATCAAACACTCATCGGAGAGGAAACTACTTAAGTGGCTCAACAGATATTTTTAAGCATTACAACTTAGAAAATGATCACTTTTCTTATAAAATACTTAAAAGTAGGACTCATTTCAAGTTTGTTTGTTTGCTTATTTATTTATTTATTTATTTATTTATTTATTTATTTATTTATTAGGGTCTCCCTGTAGCCCCAGCTGCCCTGGAACTCACTATATCATGCTAGTGTACCTGCAGGTCTGCATTTGAGTGCACAAGCATGTGTATGTGTGCTCATGTCTGTGTGGGAAGAAATCAATGCTGATATCTTCCTCACTTGCATTTATTTATTTATTTATTTATGTCTTTTTGAGACAGGGTCTGCTGTAGCCCCCAGCTGTCCTGTAGACCAGGCTGGCCTTGAACTCACAGATATCCACCTGCCTCTGATGGGATTGAAGGCATGCACCACCATGCCTGGCTCATATTTAGTTTTAACTAAGCAAATGAAGCTTATTTTCTACACACAAAAAGGTGGAAACTGATTCTTTCTAAAAAGAAGAATTAAGTTTCATCTGTAGGATCAGGACCCCAGAACTGAAGAGCTGAACCTTTAGTTTACAGTATCCGAAAAAATGTACTGTGAACTGCAAATACAGATAGATAGAACTAAGACAACGACCTCCCGTGGGTAAAGCAGAGTCCCCAGTGAGCAACCAGGGCAAGGAGGAACAGATCCTCTTACGACCACTTGTTTTCATTTGTCTGTACCCCAGGGCAGGTTTGTGAACAAACATTGCTTAATAAAACCACAGGTCAACACTTCCCTCTAGTCTTAAAAAAACCAAGTATTTAAACCGAAGATGGATTATACCAGGTGAATGCTACCATCAAATTTAGAAAGAAATCTCTAGTGTCAGATCAGGGTTAGCACCAAACATTCAGCACCTCGGCAGGAAACCGTATGAGAAAAGGCCACCCGCCAACAGAGAATGTGCACCCAAGGCCACCAGTCTGGCCAGCTCCAGGGGTGGTGGTTCCAGAAGCACTTATTTACCCAGGGTTGGCCAACGAACAGATGGATGGTTCCAGTCAAGGGTGTGCTTGATTCAGCCTATGGCTATCCAAGGGTAGCTTTAGTAATTTTTACTGCTTTAATACAAATTGGTTGATGAGACGTCTACCCTTCAGTTTGGACTAATTTTAACAAGAGTCCAGCTGTTCAAGTTAATACACATGGCTATACTCCAGTGACCACTGCTGGGGAGCCTACTTAAAACCTAACAATCCCAGCACACAGAGAAACTGGCAACGTTTACCGATGCCAGTAAGATCTGCTGCCCCTCATGTCCTTCGTTCCCGGACGCAGCCTCCTGAAACTCAAGTCTACTATGCACAGTGGGTGGCTGGACACCACGTGCCTCTTCTGCCAAGTGCATCCTGGCTTTAGTGCACCTGTGTGGGTGTGGCAGGACCACTCGGGTCAGTGCAAGCAAGCTACAGACCCTCACATGGGAAACACAAAAGGGCCCTCACAGTCAGGGCACAACCTCTGAGGTGCAGTTTAGGGAAATAAGGCTAAAGAGACAAAAATCTGAAAAATTCAGAGCACTTTGCACTTGAGAGTTCTGGAAGGTGTGAACCGTTCAGATGCTGCTGCCCCCCAGGGAAGGACAGAGCTCAGACTCAGTCCCAGTGTATCCCAGGGTGACGGTCCAAGTGTGGAGGAGGAAGAGCAGCAGGTCCGAACTGTTTTGGGGATGCCCTTGCCAGATACTGCCATCTCTGACTAGGGGCAGGGGTCCAGCAGAGGGCAGTGGGCACAACAGCTCCTGCCACCTCTAGTAAAGGCGGTTCTTGACACTAGCACAGCAGACCAGGTGGAGTGGACACTGAGCTCTGACACGCAAGCCCAGGGAACCGGGGAAGGAACTTGTATGAACTTACAGCGCAAACCGTCAGCAGACTGGGAAGAGTTTTGAGGGTTACGGTAAATGTTCAAGAGGGCAATGGTCTGAAATACAAAACGCAACAACTTTATATCATGGAAAATTAAATGAACACACTTAGCCGGCTGCCGTGAAGATTCTTGCAGTGGAGTCAGTGCTGTAAAGAGAGCAGGTTATTTCCTTCAGAGCAGAGACGTCCCCTCAGTCGCTGGCTGTCCTGAACTACCCTAACACTGCACTGCGAGATCTCATGAGATGCCAGTATTGCAATTCTGCTTACAGCACAAGCCGCACGGCCACGTGCCAGCCCAGGGGCATGCCAGGCAAGTGCCAACAAGTTCTTAGTTGAGAGAGAAAACTTAATGAACTGAGAAGGAAAAGTGCTTCTGTTAACCGATGAGCAAAGTGCTGTGCAAGAGAAATACAATAATTTCATGTCATGAAATCTCCACTTCCTAGAGGAAAAATTGTAACGGTGAAATAAAGCCACACTTACTGGGCAACTTACCTTCTTGGCTCCTCAACATTCCTACCATTTTTAGTTTTACAGAAAGAACTTAAGAAAGGCCAGGGTTCAGTCACTGTGAAGGCCAATGATTGCCTACTTGGGTTAAAACCCATTTCATGTGGACGGACACTCTTGTGACGTCAGTCAACAGGAGAGGCCGGCCAGTGACCTTCCCTAGGAGAAGAGCCTCCTGAGCTCGGCCCCTGTCAAGTTCTGGCTGTGCGCCACGCGGTTCCAGCACCATGTCCTGTTTGCAACAGCTCTATGTCAGCAGCTCAGAGCCAGCATTATGTCTCAATTAAGAGTGGGCTCTTGAACACCATCGTTTTAAAAAAATTTCTCCAACTGTGGGACTTACAGTGTGAGCCGTCAGCCGTCTGTGCACTGTTTTGGGGATTACGATAGATGTTTTGAATCAAGATGGTCTGCGGGGAAAAAAAAATAAAAAGGGGAATTCTACTGGCTGCTGTGCATATATTAGACAATTGCAAAGAGACAGTTTGTTTGCAAATGGCTAAACGTTTGTTGTCTTTTCCCGCAAGTCAGACACTTGTCTTGTGCAGAGTACACCAAAACCATCATATTATGAAAACAGAGTCTGAGCAGTGACTTGGCTCAAGTCAGCCAGCAACCAAGAAGAAACTGTATCTGTTGTTTGGAGCGTCCCCGTTATCAAGAGTGAAGTGTTTCGATACAAGACACGAAATAAACAGAACACTAACATTTTCTTGTACTCCAAGCCAGCACGCTACCATGTTGAAAAAGTCACGTCATATTCCCCACAGAATCATTTTCCTGACCAAATGCACACTCCAACTGTCTGCGGTACATCAAGCTCTGGGCTCAGCAAACAGGCACACCAGTTGTCATGGATACCTGACTCTTATTTACACTTTCTTGGTGGGGTCTCTGTTTACATAATACAATAGTTAAAACATTTGCTCTTTTCCGATCCTTCTTTTAAGGAAAAGATCCTTTTAGCCCTTGTGCTTTAATCTGGATCAGGCAGACTTGAAACCTTACACTGTACCGTTCTTCTGAAAATCAAGTTGTCTGAAAAAACAAACCATGTTTAAGTTAGTAAGCTAATATAGTACATGAATCTTACGTCCACATCACTGTAAGAAACCCACCCTGAATTATGCTAGAGATTTACAGGCTGAACAATAGACTGCATGATCTAGAAAGTCAATGTTCTGTCTCAACAGCGTAGCATGAAGACCGTTTTTAAGTGTTCGGTCGACCCAGCTGGCTCTGCTCGGAGCTGTGCTCCAAGGGGAGCGGCGAGATGGCAGTTCACGGAACAGAGGTCTGCTACTGGAACCCACCTGGGAAGCAGAGCCAAGTACCAGCCGCACACACCGACACCACACCAAGTAGCCCTCTGCACCCTGGGCATGCAGCCTGCCTGGCCATCACAGCTGCCCTGAGTCAGCTAGTCCTGCCTGCCCTCACAGGTTTCCCAGGGTTGACTTCCCTCAGCTCTCTACTCGAACCACCGGGAAGGAAGCCACTGACAAGCAGAAGGGATGCCACTCAGCAGCACACCCCCGCAGTCCTCCCCGGGTTACCTGCAGACAGCTGTTCACTGTAGGCAAAGCTGTGTAAAGAGGCAGGTGGTTCCACTAAAATCTGGGGAACCAACCAAAACAAAGCGAGGTACCCTATTGTCATGGGAGCCCCTCCCCACCCAGTGCTCAGATGAACTTCACTGACCCTCTCAAGGTGCCCCATGGTTCCGAAGATCAGAAGAAAGCAGCAAGGGCTTCTGGCTCATTGAGAGGGCTAACAGTAGCCTCTCTGTACCCACCACCATGCACACTTGTTAACAAGCCCCAAACCAAAGGGGCTTAGTTACTGCACAGCCCAGGACCACTGGTTAAGTGGGTGCCTCAACAACTCAAACCACCAACACACAATATGACATTTAAAGCAGTGGCTCCGACACTCTTAAAATTCAGAAGTTCAGGGTCATTAGAGGATAGAGTCCTCTTACACTAACCTAGTTCTGCAGGGCTTTAGCTCCAAGATACCACGGTCTCTCCCAGCTCCTTTATACCAACTGACTGACTTCACACAGAAAAATGTTTTACTTAGCAGAAGGGAAAGTAAGATGCATGTTCAGCACCTAGCAACTTTCAGGGCCACTGTGGGGAACTCAGCAGCCTCACTCTAGGCTGACCCGGTGGAGACCTTCCAATCTCGCCCCTTTCCAGAGGTGAAGCAGCAGCTTTCTGCTATTAGGGAACCTTTAATCCACCGGCAATCCCTGGAGGCTCAAATCCTTGCCTTTTTTACAATCAGCCAAAACCAAAAAACTCCGCAAAAACAAAAACTGAAACAAAAGATATGGGACGGAGTTTCATTTGGGGCAGACCTGAGCCCAAGACAGGCATCTCTTAGTGAACTGAACAGACCTGCTATGGGCAATTCATGTTGATCATCTACTGTTAAGTTTCATTAGTGAAGATTCTAGAATACGCTGCAAATTGAGGTGTCAAAGTGCAGAGAGCCCTGATGGACCTGCTGGCATCTCTACAGCCCAGAGAGCACACAGCAGACACCGCATTCTGCATCCACTGCTACCTGGAAAAGAGGTGCGGTCATGCCACATGCCCTGGTGTCCATGGGAGGGAGAATAAGGCAGTGACCTCCAGCTGTGACCAACATACGTCCCAATACTTTTTTTGTCTTTTTGAGATGGGGTCTCCCTGTAGCCCCAGCTGACCTGGAACTCACTATGAAGATCAGGATGGCCTCGAACTCATGAAGATCCGCCTGCCTCTGCCTGGCATTAAAGGCCTGAGCCACCACGCTGGCTTCCACTATTATTTTTAAAGTTCCTCTAAGGATAACAGAGACCCGCCCCCCCCACTGGGGTGGGCCTCCCTACCTCATTCTCATTCAAACAAATATTAAACAAGAAAAAAAAGACTTGCTCAGCATGTGGAAATATTAATTGCCTCTGAAAAGTGCAAGATTTTTAAAAATAATTTATGTGGAAAGGAAAAAACAAAGCAAACAAACCTGGCTAAAGGTCGGTTTATTGTGCAACCGAGAACATCTGTCTCCATGACGACAGGCTCCAATTTTGAAATAAAATGAACAGTTGACTCTGTAAGGAAAAATAAAGAGCTGGTTATTTTGCTGGGAAGATACTGGACAGAAAGACCATTAACACAATCTGTATTTCCAAATCACTTTCCTGCTACTAAAACATATGCATTTTTTAAAAAAAATTTATTATTATTTTTTTTAATGTGTATGAGTGTACTGCCTGCATGTAGGTAAGTGCACCTGTGTCATGTAATGCCCTCGGAGGTCGTAAGAGGCTGTTGGATCCCCTGGGACTGGAGTTATGGACAGCTCTTAGCTGCCATGTGGGTACTGGGATTCGAACCCAGGTCTTCTGTAAGAATAGCCAGTGTTCTTAACCGCTGAGCCATCTCCCCAGCCCAGCACATGCAGTTTTATATTGATAGTACCACCTTAGCAGTATTTTAGGATGCCTTAACTTCAACTCTGAGTTAAGAGTGCTCTAATTTTAACTCCATCCCTTCTCATTCAAATCCCCTCCACTGTTAATGCATACTTTCTGCTTTTTTAAAAGATTAGCACTAAAAAGCCAAAAAAAGAAAAAAAAAAGTATTCCTCATAAGCTAAATTTAACTTAAACCACACCAATTCTCCATTTTGCCACGATGAAGTTCTCTCCTGAGGATGCCAGCTCAGTGTGGGAGGAAGGAGACCCTGATGAAGGTGGATGTCCAGGTTTGGACAAGCCACTCCACCTCTCTGGTCTCAGATGCCATCTATAAAATGAGGAAAATGCCAACCAGGCACTGTTCCAAGAATTGAGACATGTGTCCTTACAGGCCTCAGTAAGCACTATCACTATCTAAAGAAAACAGAAAACAAAGTTCAGGTTCTCCAAACTCCTGTATCACTGAGAGGAAATTTCCAGACAGGCTCTTGGCTGTCAGGATATCCAACCCACCCCAGGAACCAGAGAGAGCAAAGCCCGCCCTATGCTGCTTCAATACTCCACGGACGGAGTTCAGCCAATTAAAGCCAGCAGGTGCCCGTTCACATTTCATCTTGCAAAAGTAGGAGTGTTAGCCTACAGATCATGTTATTTTTAGCAAGAGCTGGATGTTTAAGTAGTCAATTTGCAGTTAAGACTGAAGGCTTCAACTACAGTGAAATCTGATGGACCATGAAGACCAGCCCTCCTCTGTGTACCATCAGACTGCAGTAAATAAAGTCAAGCTTGAGTTTACCAGGGAGAAGAATCATTAGGAGTGCCCTTACTCTGGGTAACTTGACTGGACAAGAACCCTTGTTAAGTCAAGTGAAAATGAACAGCTCATCTAAAAACTACCTCAGAATGGGCAAAATCCCTGGCTGAACTGAACTCAAGGGCCCACATGAGTGACAATCCTCATTCTTAATCGTCTAGCAAGTGCTCCTGCTTCAGCCAGTTAATAAACAACTGAAATAAAATGAAAAAAAAAAAGTAAGAACGAGCCAGGTGGATCTGAGTTCCAGGCCAGCCAAGGATACATAGAAAAATGTCTCAAAAACAAAAAATGGGTTTTACTTGCAGACAAGTTAGATTAGATCTAAAAAAAAAAAGTTCACACTTTAAAACGCTCAAGCTAAATATTTATGTAGACCTACATTTCACTTCTATCTTAAATTTTTAAAAAAGCAGTAGGTACTACCATGTTCATGTTTCAAGAGGTGATCTTCTCTGGTAAGCTAAACACTCCATCTTCCTGAAATGAGAACGTAAGTAGCCTTGGTTTTTCTTAAAAAAAAAAAAAAATCAATTCTTTGTACCTCTTCCCTAGTTAAGCTGAGATGTGGTTCTTTACAGCAGAACCATGGGATGCAGCACTGGATTAAGCCTCCATAGCCAGGGCTTTGCTGAGACAGTCCTTCCCAGGACACACGCCGTCCCACAGGTATAAATGCAAACCAGAAGTGCACGGCAAGGAGCCTGTCAGAACTGGTCAGTCACCCCAACCCTCCTATGTGACATCTGCATTTACGTAACAGACTTTTCCACAGCAGTTACCAGGTTTCAATGCATTTTCAAGACTTTATTTTAAACGTGTGTGTGTGTATGGGTGTATGTGCATGAGCCCACAGAAACCACAGGTGTCAGATGGGAGCTGGAGTTATAGATGATTGTGAGCCATCTCATCTGCCTACCACAGGTGATGGGAACTGAACTCTGGTTCTCTCTAAGAGCAGTAGCTACCAAGCCATCTCTCCAGTCCCTTCCATGTATTCAAAAAAATTTTTTAACTGATTTTTTTTTGTATTTCATACAGAACATCCCAAACAATCTTATTCATCTTTATACCCGCACACCAAATGGCACCTTCCCATAGCCCCTCCCCCCACTGGAACCCATATACTCTGTCATCCCAGTTACGTACGGCCCACTGCGTTGTCAGTGCCCCCCAGCCGTTCCCCAGTTCAAGTTCATCCGCTGAGTCTAGTCAGCCTATCTATAGAGTCCCTTGTTTTAGGAAGATCAGCTCTTCCTCATCTAGCAGCAGTCACCCACATTCCTTTAGATAAGATTGGGGTCTGCTGTTCATTTTCCCAGTTCGATGCTGGGTTACTGTCTGGGAGTCTCTTGGGCCACCCTGTCCAACAACTCAAAGGAAGGTATCTCCTGTCTGCCATTCTTTCTTATTTTACGTAGCCTTTGCCTATACACGTGAACTCTTAAAGAAATATACTGACCACTTTGATCTTTGGTTATACTTTCCTTTTGGGTGTTTAAGACCATACGGTTGGCCCAAATAAACCAATTTATTTTTACTCTGAAGGTCATTTGAGGATCTGTTCCTCAGGGATCACATGGGCTTAGGAGGAACCCTGGCTTTCTTTTACCAGTTCCATCTATGTGAAGACAAGTCAAAGGTCCTGCTCAATCGTGGCTGGCTTCACTTGGAAGCATGGAGGAAATGCTTCTTCTGTACTCTTTGTAGACTGGACACTGGTTCAAGTCCATCTGAGGGGGCCTCTGTAGCCTCCCTGAACAAGAGGACAGGTGACTCACCACACTTACAGGACATTTTGAGAGATGCTCCATAGTCCCCTGGAACTTAGTCAACTTCAGAGGGCAAGGAGCAAAAACTGTCCTTTAAGTTCCTCTGACCAGATTAGTATAGGCCTCAAAGTATGGTTGTTATCATCTTTAACATAATGCATACAGCCTCCTCCAGATTTCTCAGAAAACCCCAACTTTTTTTTTTCCTGGTCTTTTTGAGACAGGGTCTCCCTGTAGCCCCAGCTGGCCTGGAACTCAGTATGTAGACCAGGCTGGCCTTGAACTCACAAGAGATCAGCTTGTCTCTGCCTCCCAAGTGCTGGGATTAAAGGGGAGCGGCCACCACACCCTGATCAAAAACCAAGATTTTATCCATCTTTGGGTCTCCTGTCTGGCCTGGAGTGGACACCCAATAAAATGCTTTTACACTGACTGCCTGAAGATTTTGGCTGGAGTTTTAGAAACATTCCCTCTTCCAATCACAGGAGATTCTATCTGTATAATGGTGCCTGTCCGCACAGCCTCCTTCCTGGAAAACAGAACATTTTCAACAGTGTTTGAGAACCTAGCAACAAAAATCTTATCTATGGCAGATCCAGGGCCTTCCCATTACAGATCTGTGTAGCCCTGGTGTGGGGTCAGGAACACCAAGATGGTGACTGCTTACTCCGAGAACATTAAGCCAGACACTTCAAAGTAGGAATTATCCTTATCCTTCAAAGCGCCTGAAGACATTTCCTTTAGCCTAAACTTCATCCAATACACTGGAAATGAGTATGTGCCAAGGATTGCACCCAAATACAAGTGAGATTACTATTGTTTTCCTTTAACCTAACCATTGATAAAAAGCACCCCTTTCCCGATATCCGCGCGGCATAAAGAGTTCCCAGGCACTTCCCGCACTTTCCCGCCCGCGGTCCTCACCACCAGCCCCGCCACGGCTCCGGCAGGAAGGACGCCGGCTCAGTGGACAGACTCCCAGGAATGGGGTCTCCCTAAGACGCAGCGACTGGCAGGGGGCACGTCCGGCACCACACCGAACACCCAAAGTTGCGAGCACGTGGGCTCGCCCGGGGGTCCGGGCCGGGGTGGAGCCGGGCGCCGGTAGCTGCAGCCCGAACCCCGTAGCCTGGAGTGCAGGCCCGGCCCGAGTCGCCCACCGCGCGGCCCACGAGGTGGCGGCGCCTAGACGCGCGAGGCCGCAAAGGCTGCCGCTCCCGCCCGCTATGCCCGGGCCCCTTCGCGGCCTCCTCCGGCCCGCGCCCCCCGCAGTCCCGGCCCGCGCCCCGGAGGCCGCCCCCTCACTCACTTGTCTTTCTCGGTACCGAAGATGGAGGCCAAGTACTCCGCCATTTTCCTCCGGACGCCGCCGACACGGCTGCCGACGCCGCCGACCCTGCCGACGCCCTCGGGAGACGTCACCGGATGCGCGACGCTCTTCCCGCCTCACGGCAGAGGCGCCGTCCAATCAGGAGAGGACCTGCTGACGCGGGGCGGGACAAAGAGCGCGCGGAGGTTCCGCCCCTTGGTCCTGGCGCCTGCGCAGTCTCTGCCGTTCGGGCGGGTCCCGCGCGCGCCGCCCGGTGTTCGCGGGCCTGGAGGATGGCGGGCTGCCGGTTCCGGCTGCGGCTATACCCCGCGCCCTCTTCCCCTGCCGCTCTCCCGGGGACTCCTGCATGGGGGGATTCCAACCCCCGGTGTCTGCGCGGAGAGTCGCGCCGCGTGGTTGGGTGCGTGCCAGACTAGTGGCATCCCAGCCGGACCCTGGCCGTTGGGTCATCTGAGTTTGATGACCGCAGCTCTCTGGCCACCTGGGGAAGAGCTGAAGAAGGAAAGCTGCTAGAGTGTGGGAAGCTGGGGATTCCACTGTGCAGGCCAGGCCAGGGTCCACACAGCGGAACTGAGCTGAAATACAGGTTCTCTGTCACGAGTTAACCAGGGTGGATGGCCAGACCAGGGCCTCCAGAACCATTCATCTGGCCATCCATGTGTCCGTCTGCCTGTCCTCCCATCCACCTGTCCATCTGCCCCTCACTCAATCCCTGCATGTATCCATCTCTGTCTCAATTCAGAATCCCTCCATCCATGCCACACCCATCCCATTCTCATTTAGGGACGTTACCGTGAGGACAGGCCCTGTGACAGGTATATGGACATAGGCTGGTGTGATAGTTGGTTTGTTGGTTTAATTGTGCAGTGCCCCCCCTTTTTTTTTCTTTTCCCTAAAACAGGGAAAGTATAATCCCAGTGCATCTATCTCCTGAGCACTGGGATTACAGGTGTGCCCCACCACACCACACCTGGTTTTATGTGGAGCTAGAGATAGAACCCAGGACTTTGTGCATTGATGTAATACCGAGCAAGATGCACAGAGGAACGCTACAGAGTGATGGTTGAATTATGAGTCCTTTGTTGATAGCTTGCAGTCAGAGAGGTGGCTAATGCCCAAAAGAACGCTGGACCATGAAGAGAAGGACAGCATTTATAAAGTTTAAAACCACCGTTACATCATGCCAGGGGCAAAGCCAATAACCATAGTTACATCAGATCACCATAGTTACACCAGACCAGGGGCAGGTCAGTTAACAAAGAGGTTTTCAGTCAACAAAAGTTTCAGTTAGACTGGGAAGGAAGATGTGCTACGTGGACGTGCTACCTGGGTACCTGTAAGTTTCCCAGTATTGTAGAAGTGTACTCCCTGAAAGACTTCTTCCTGGTGCCGACAGTGGGAATGGCTGGGCAAAATCACAGGGTAAAGCAAAAGTCAGCTAGGACAAAATGGACAAAATCGTTTTTACCATTTCAGTTAGGTCAGCACTCTACCAAGTATGTTCCCAGCCCTGGCTAATGTGTTGTTTAATCCTCAATGTCAACTTCGATGGATTATTGAGGATCACTCCTCTGGGTGTGTTTCTATGAAGGCATTACCAGCGACTTCCATACTCCTGGGACCATGCCTTCACCATGACCGGCTATCCCCTGAACCATGAGCCAAAATAAACCCTCCTGAGTAGCTTGTCAGGTGCTTGATCACAGTAACAAGAGTAGGAAGACAGATACCCACTTGGATGTCTGCCAGACTTCTCCAGCTCAGCACATCTTCACCCAATTTCATTTTCTCTTCTCTGGCACCAGCCAGCTGCCCATGCTCTAAGCTCACCTCATTCCCCGGTACTCTGCCTCTCTACCCATTCCTTGCCCTGCTCCAGTTCCTCCTCTTGGGCAATTCTTCAGTGCCTCTGGGTCATCATTTTCCCCTTTTCTAGAAAGCAGTTGGTCTAGCTGACAGCTTGGAACACAGACCTGATGGCACCACTTCCTTGCTGAGGGTCCTCCGTGGTGCCCAAGTCCTGGAGTGGCACCTTTCCACTCCTTGTCTGTGTGAGCCTCTTACCTGCACGGTCTTGTTTCCACTGTCCTCCATGTCGTGTGTTCCCTCTGCCACCATTAGCACACCATTGTGACCTGGGTTCTTCTTGGGAGGCTTGACTCAGGCAGCAGCTTATTTTGGGTTCTTATACTGTACTTCCACATTGTGACCCCAGCGATGGCTTTCTGTGACTCTAGAGTTCCATTTGTTCATGGATTCGGCTGCATCTAGAGCTTGGCACTCGCCAGGTGCAGGTGCTCATGAAGCTGCTGCTGCCATCCTCAGTGAGTAGGCTCAGTGTGCTGGCTCACCTGGGCTGTGGTGTCTGGGACTCTTTCTACCTACTCATTCTGATATATGGTGGTACAGGCTTTAGAGCCTCTCTACAGTTACTAACTGCAAAAAGTTCTGAAAACAGATTTTCTTGCTGTAAGTTTGATGCCCGGACTCAATTTGTTGCATAAGGCTGGCCTGGCCTACTAGCTTTGCTCAGTGCTCCATTGGGCACAGGAGGCTGTGTGTGTGTGTGTGTGTGTGTGTGTGTGTGTGTATGCACATGTGCATATGTGTGTTTTAAGAAGTTTTCTACAATTTTGTTTTTCAGGTTTTTTGTGTTTTTTTTTTTTTCTTTTTGAGACAGGGTCTCCTTGTAGCCCCATCTGGCCTAGAACTCACTGTGTAGACCAGGCTGGCCTCGAACTCACAGAGATCTGCCTGTCTCTGCCTCCCGGATGATGGCAAATTCTTAATTTTATTGGTTAAGCCACCATGTCTGGCTGAATACTTTTTAAAAAGCTAAATGCATCCCACTGATTGCCATGAAAAGGACTCGCAAAAGCACAGTCCTTACAATGAGAAGCCAGCACTAGGGACGCTGGGAAATCCCCCTCGCTTGAAGGTCAGAAGTGCTTGAGGTTTCATCTCAATGACAGTGACCAAGAGTCCTTAACAAATGACAGACTCGAGCTGGGCCTGGTGGCCTAGGCCTAGACACTCTGAAGGCTGAAGCAGGAGGATGGAAAGTTCAAGGCCAGCTTGGGCAAACTCATGAGACCCTGTCTCAGATACAAAAAATAAAAAGGGAGACTGGGGATGTAGCTCAGAGGTACAGCCGGTGCCTAGTAAGGGCCTGGGCTCCATCCCCAGTTAGGAAAAAAGGTGAAGCTAAAAGACTGCATGTGTGGAAGGATCTTTGCCAGCCACAAGGATGCTGCCACAAGCCAGGGAGTGGTGCCAGGCATGACAAGCTGCAGCAGGAGCCTCTGAACTTTAAAGGTGAACACGAGTTTGCAGAAATACCTAGGTGTAAAGGCTGCCATGCTGAAGAGCTTCCGACCAGGAAACAGCTGAAAACCACACTGAAAGGTTTTCTGTAAATCTGCCTCGTGAAAATCACAGTTTGAACAAGTGCCGGGGCCGGGGAGGCAGCTTGCAGGCGCCATTTGTTGCTAGGCAGGGCAGACTAAAAGCGTCAGACTAGGAGCCAGGGTCGGGCTGGCAGGTTGGAAAAGGCCACAGGTGTGAGTGTGGGCCCTCTGCCTGTTATGTGGAGGAGCCCGGAAATGTTTCCAGCCTGGTTTAATCACCTGTATCAGTGCCATGAATTCCTTGCAGATAAGCTGGCCTGGGAGAAAACCAGCCTTTGGAACTCCACACAGCTGCTCTGCTCATCCACCCCTTCCTGGATGTCTTTTGAATAGTCATGTTTCTGACATTTACTTTCCCTCCATTTGTGAAAAGAACTTATACTCTTTATGAAAAGGGAAGAGAAAGGTCTTGAGAAATGTTAATGTCCTACCATTGACAGACACCAGAATCACCTGCAAGATCAATGGTAAGACTATCTACTGGCTCCACAAGCACTCTCATATATGTCCCAGACTGGTGTTGAACTTGTTGTGTAGCTGAGGGTGATTTTGAACTCCTGATCCTCCTGCCTCTGCCTTCTGAGTGCTGGAATTACAGGTATTTGTGTGCCACCACAGCTGGTTAATGCAGATTCAACCTAAGGCTTTTGTACATGCTATAGAAGCACTTTGTACCAGCTGAGCTAGGTCCCAAGCTCCCCCAAACGGTTCTTGAAGTGTAATCTGGAGATGAGGGCTGGCCTTGGTAGAGGGGAATAGTAGACCTTATTTACCCCTAAAGCTCATCAGCTAAAGATATGTCAGGAAACAGTAATATGGAGATACAGAACCTCTCTTGGCTTCCTGGAATGATGGAGATATTGCTAGAATGAGTTAAATATAGATGAGAATGAGAAGGAGTGAAGACAAGACATTTGTGGGGGTGGGGACTCCCACAGATCATGGTAATACTGTGTGACCTGCTTATTCTAGGATTAATTTTGGTGAATGGTCTTGCTGAGTTAAGAAGAGCCCAGTCATGGGGCTAGTGACTTGAGTCTTGGTGCAGGACACCGTCTGCTTGGTGATATCTCAGGACTTGAGACTCCTCACATACCCCTCCAATGCCCACCTTCAACCTGGTGACCCCCAGCATGTGACCCTAGTGGGTGCAGACAGGTGTTTTGTTCCTCTGGCTCACACTTATGTTGAAAGCTTTCTTGAACCTTTTCCTTGAGAAGTACTAAGAAAGTTACGGTATGTAGTTATCTACTTTTTTATTTTTTGTTTTTGGTCTTTTGGAAAGAGGGTCTCCCTATAGCCACATTTGGCATGGATTCACTATGGAGACCAGGCTGGCCTGGAACTCCCAGAGATCCACCAGCCTCTGCCTTCCAAGTGCTAGGATTAAAGGCGTGTGCCACAATGCCCAGCTATTGTTTTTGTTTTTTTGAAACAGGGTCTCCCTGTAGCCCCAGCTGTCCTGGAACTCACTATGTAGACCAGGCTGGCCTTGAACTCACAGAGATCTGCCTGCCTCTGCCTCTCAAGTGCTGGGACTCAAGGCATGTGCCACCATGCCCAGCTGTAGTTACGTACTTTTGAAGTTCATTTTGTTACTATGTAGGTAGTAACTCTAGAGTCAAGATTAACGCTATCCACTAGCCATTTATTCCACTTACCTTTGATGATGAATTTAGTTGCAAAAGTGTGAGTGTATTTGACTCGGACCCTGGCCCAGGCCTTT